GTAGGAAGGCACAGGGCAGGTGATAACAATTGAGAGAAGGAAGGGGTGATAATACCTGGGGAATGGAACTCAATAGTTTCCCAACTTATTTTAATAGAAGCAAATTGGGGCAACGGAGTCACAGCCAACAGGGATTGAGATGAGGCCAGGCAGGGAAGGTGCTGTGTCTAGGAAATGGAAGACAAAGCAAACTGGCAGCTGGAGGGTCGGGGTGGACTGGCCTTGGTGGCCTGCAAGGAGCCCAAGCTGCCAGCTTCATCCCTGGGGAGGAGAAGAGCCTCTGGCCCAGCTGGTTCTGGGAAAACCTCAAGGGTGGGCACTCCCAGAAACTCCTCAGCTTAATTACTTAATCACACACTGTCAATAATCAATGAACCCACCAGTATATAACAATAGCATGGCTGAGTGAGCCTGCGAGCTGAGTGAGCCTGCGAGCTGAGTGAGCCTGCGAGCTGAGTGAGCCTGCGAGCTGAGTCATTATCACTTGCAGCTGTCACCTATGTTTTCTCTGAGTAGAAAATTTCTCTGAGTCCCCACTCCTACATCATCCCACCAAAGGGCTTCTATGCCTATAATCTGCCTTACCTGATGTTGTTATGATGGATTAATTATTCACACTCCCATAGTCCCTCCATTTGTGGATTAGATCCCATTCCTTGTCATTCATCATTTCAGGATTCTCCTACTCTTTCTCTTGCATTATTACTATTATTTCCCCATTCTAGTGGAGAATTTACATCATCACACACTATTTTGTATGTTTTCCCATTTTAAAAAATTCAACCCTATATCCTCTTGAGGTTTTGCCCATTAAGCTCCCTTTTGCTATGAAGCTTTCTGTACTCATCCTCAGTCCCCTTCTTCCCATTCCTCTCAAAAGCACTGGATCCAGGCTTCGCTCCCTTACACTCCCCAAAACTCCACTGATCAAGGTCATTGATGACCTCCACCTGCTAAATGCACTAGACCCTTGTAATCTCTGTATTTGGCTGATCTGACATGGCTGTTCACTCCCTCCTCCCTGAAACAGTTTCTTTACTTGGCTTCCAGGACACCACATTACCATTCCTTCTTAATTCACGGCCTGGCCTGTAGTCTCCTTTGGTAAGTTGCGTCTCATCTCTCTAAATGTCAGTGTTGTATCCTAGGAAATCATTTGAACCTCTTTTCTGCTTTTTTCTTATTTTTTTTTTTATAATAGCTAGACCTAATTTTTCAGTACAATTCTAGATTTACAAAGTAATTGAGTAAATAATACATAACATTTCATACAACTTAACCCTCCCCTCTCATCCGCACACAAAGTTTTTCCCATTATTAATATCTTGCATTAGTGTGGTATATTTGTTACAATTAATAACAACATTTTGTAGTTAACAATGGTCCATAGGTTACATTAGGTTTGCTCTTTGCATTGTATAGTTCTGAGTTTTGACAAGTGTATAATGACCATTATAATTTTGTACAGAATAGTTTCACTACCTTAAAAAAAATCCGTGTTCATCCCTCTCTTCCCACAAACCTCTGAATGTCACCTGATGTTTTTATGGCCTTCATAGTTGTGCCTTTTCCAGAATACCACATAATTGGATCACAAAGTTTTTTCAGATTGGCTCCTTTCATTTCATAATATGCATTTAAGCCAGGTCTTTTCAGTGCTTGATAGTTCATTTCCTTTTAATACTGAATTATAATTCCTTTGTGTAGATATACCACAGTTCATTTATCCATTTACTTATTGAAAGACATCATATTGCTTCTGGATTCTGGTGGTTAGGAGTAAAGCTTCTATACATATTTTTGTGCTGGTTTTTGTGCCGACATTAGTTTACAACTCAGGCTGAAGAGTGTGATTGCTGGATCATGCTGTAAGACAATATTTAGATTTGTAACATACTGCCAAACTGTTTTCCACAGTGTACCATTTTCCATTCCCCCCAGCAATAAGTGACTATTTCTGTTGCTTCTCAATCTTGCCAGCATTTTGTATTATTCGTTTTATGAATTATAGCCATTCTAATAAGTGTGGTATTGCCCTGTTTAAATTTCCAATTATCTAATGACACACAATGTTGTGCATCTTTTCATATGCTCACTTGCCATCTGTATGTTTTCTTTGGTGAGGTGTCTGTTCAGATCTTTTGCCCATTTTATAATTGGGTTGCTTGTTTTCTTTTCATTGAGTGTTAAGAGCTCTTTGTATATTGTAGACCATTCCTTTATCAGATTAGTGATTTACATATATTTTATCCTAGTCTGCGCCTTGCTTCTTCATTCTCTTTACAGAAATATTGAACCAGCCTTGTATATTGTCCAATGTTTTTAAAAGCCTTCTATGTGTTGGTGACTCCCAATATCTCTAGCCTAGTCTTGTTCCCCCTATGTCAGTCATCTAACATTTCCTAAATTAACTCTAGATCTTTGTTAATAAAAATGTTTCCTGTACTCTTTCTCATCTCAATAATTATAAACCCTATTCTTCTATTGCCCCTTCTACTGTAGAAATAACTACAGTTCTTGGCTCTTCCACAGTGGCACCCAGGACTGTAGTTACCAATATATCTGTGCTTTTGCAACATAGTTCCAGGATGGAATTGAGAGAGCAGAGGCATAGAAAAAAAGGGGGCAGATGGCATGCCTGGACTCCAAACATATTCTGCCATTGCACGAACAATCAACAAAAGGAGAACTGTGTGGAGGCAGAAGGGTGGTGGTAGTAGAGTCCCTGAGGCAGCAGAAAGTTCAAAAATAGACGTCCTAACCAGAGAATTTGGTTTAACCATGTGAACTCATTAAGCAAATTGCAACAGGAATTTTCTGGATGAGGTCACAACTGAAGGTAGCCCTTGGCAAAGAAATTATAATTAGGAAGACCATATGTCTTTTAGGACAGTTTCAATTTATACCTGTTGTAGGTCAGTTATTTATTTTTAGTGCCTTATTTTAACAGTGCTCCAATGTGGGTGATGTATTATTTGGTTACTTGTTTATAACCTAGGGGGCGTTAGAAAGTTGGATAGCTCCTAGAGATAGAAACTCCATATGGAAGATTTGTAGGGAGGATATAAACCATCTTTCTGCTCATATCAGATCCTTGGTTGAGAGCTTCAAGAAATCAATGGGATCAGGTTGTATTGTGAACTTCCAGGCACTGTGAAGTCCGGGGTATTTTAGGGCATATAGAGATGCTGGCAGGGAAAGAAAACAATGAGCTGTAGAGTCAATTAGGGACATGCACTTAATGGGAATGTTTCTGAATTTGTGAAATTCAACCATATTATGGAGAACCCTAAGCACCAGAAGATCTGATCTTCAGGCCAAGAATTGGTTTGATGAGAAGTGAAAGGGAAGGACAATGAACAAGAATGCTGATGTTGGTGGATCAAGCAGTCAATGCATTTCTACTGGGTTTTGGGGCCTCTGGCAAGCCCCTCAAACCACACATACAAAATTAAGCTTAGAAGGCAAGAGAATTCCAGGAATTTGCAAGAATCCTGTGGCCTTCGTTAAGTCAAATTCTGAGACAGGTCCCGATTCAACCAAACCATCAACTAAAAGACTTTTTTTTCCCTCACACACACACAAAAAATTCTGAGAGTGGGATCTATAACCCATTTTCAAACTTGAGTTTTTAGTGCTGGTGTGGTTTCAGGGGGGTGTATATAACATATACACAATATATACGTGCATATCATATACAAAGAATGCATACAATACAAAATTTGCATATACAGTATGTGCAAATACAATACAGAATACAAATACAGTATACATACAACATACATCCTTACAAATGTATTTATATTGTATGTATATTGATATATTGTCCTCTTAAATGTGTTTGATAAAACTTCCTGTAAAATGTCTTTACACATTAATAGAAGCCACATAACAGAACCAATGAGTGGCTATTAGGAAAACAAAATATTAGAAGTAATTGATTGAGGTAAAAAAAAATGAACTATAGTAAAAAGAACTTGTAGAATAAAAAAATGGTGGTGGTTCAGGGAAGACAGGACCCTTGCCCCTCCCCCCAAGCTACCACCCCTGAGGGAAGGCACAGGGCGGGTAATAACAATTGAGAGAAGGAAGGGTAGATAACACCTGGGGAATGGGACTCAATAGTTTCCCAACTTCTTTCTTTTTTTTTGAATAACTTCCCTTTTATTCCCTCCCCTTTATGGATTTTTTTTTCTGGAAATACACAGACATTTTTAATGGAAGCAAAATGGGGCAATGGCGTCACAGCCAACAGGGATTGAGCTCAGGCGAGGCAGGGCCAGTGCTGTACCCGGGTCATGGAAGCCACAGCAGCCTGGCGGCAGGGGGGTTGGGGTGGCCTGGCCTTGGGGGCCTGCAAGGAGCCCAGATTGCCAGCTTCAGCCCTGGGGAGGAGCAGAGGCTCTGGCCCAGCTGGTTCTGCGAAAACCTCAAGGGTGGGCACCTGGCAGCTTCCAGAGACTCCTGAGCTTAATTACTTAATCACACCCCACGAGTAATCAATCAACCCACAAGTATTTAATTGATACCACGCTAGTGAGCCTGCGAGCTGAGTGAGAGAGAGCCTGCGAGCTGAGTGAAGCCTGCGAGCGAGGACTTTGGTGGGAACTTTTTTTCTCCGCGTCTTCCAGGACACTTCTGGACTAAGCACAAACATCCAGTTGGCCTCTCAGAACCTCTCCACAGGGCTACTCGCACGTGGCAGCTGCTGGTTCCCCCGGCTGTGATGTCCCCATGACAATGGGAGGACTGACTGGGCACCCCTGATAGAAGCCACCAGTTTTGGTAACCCAACCTCTCAAGGCACAGGTCACCGCATACTTGGAAAAGGGACTGAACAGGGGCGAGGGATCCTTGGGGGCCACCTGGAAGGCTGCCTCAGTTTTCTCATCTATTAAATGGAGGTAATAACAGCTTCTGCCTTATGGGGTCGCTGAGAGGGTGTGGAGATGATGTGCTAAAGAGCTAAGGGCTATCGTGCTTGTTGCCCTGGACTACAGACGGCAAAACAGGTTCAGGGAGATGGTGCACTTGGCTGCCTGAGTCCCAGAGCTGAGGCTCCAGCCAGAGTTCCTCCACCCAATGCCGAGTTGTTGGCGTTGAAAGACTCACATGCCTGGATGGAGGCTCCTGGGGTGTGAGCTCCAGGCCTGACCCCTCTGTCTGCAGAGATCGCTGACACAGGAAGAACCAGCAGAAAGAGGAAGGAAGGGATCGGGCCATCAGGACTTTCCTGACCCGTTCCAAGTAGCGTGAGCCTGAATGGCTCAGCTCTGGTTGGACGGGCACTGCGAGGCCCGAGCAAGATGCTGAGCCCCTTGGAGCCTGGCCTGCTCACAGTGGGGGAGTAGGGAGTCCTCCCTCCAGGGCTCATGGGGCAAGACCTGAGGAGAGAGCGACCAGGAGTTCATCAGGCAACGCGGGAGAGAAGAGGCTGCAGGATAACTGCTTGTGCAAAGGTCCAGTGAATTCGAAGCACTGCCCAACGGCTAGTTGACCCAGGCCAGTGGCCCTTTGCTGGGACACACAGTAAGGGCGGGACCCGTGCCTGCCATTCTGATGGCACCTCCCTCCGGGGCCGCTGGACTGTGGCCGCTGGGGTCCGTGTGAGGGCTGGCAGTGGCGGAGGCCTCTCCAGAGCTGTTGTCACCGGGACCCGCCTGGTGGCCGTGACCACGCCTGTTGTGCGCTCCCTGAGCCCCGCCCAGGCAATGCCCTTTCTTGCCCCTCAGGAGGGCACACGGACAGGGACCAGGGACAGCAGACTGCCCTGATTCACTAAAGCACCTAGAGCCATGTGACCTGTCCTGGTAGTGACAGGTTCCTAGCGCTGCCTGGGCTGCTGGGACGCTGCCAGAGAGCAGGCCCAGGTCTGTCCCAGCTGCTCCCCAGCCTCGGTGGCCTGAATGCAGCCACAGCAACAGTGAAGAAATGGGCGTGGCTGTGAGCCAGTAACACTGTATTTGCTGTCACTGAAATTTGAATTTCATGTAATTTTCACTTGTCACGA